ATTGTTATTGATATAACTGTTAAGTTTTATATAGCTGGTACCTGAAAGACACTGAAATTTTAAAATATTATTTCTATGATGACTTAACATATGTAATACTTTCAACAAGATTTTTAAAAAATAAAAAAGTAAAATAGATATAAAAATCTATTATGTCCTAGTTATTCAGATATCTTAATTTTTTCCCCAATGTATATTTGAACAGAGAATTCAGTGCCAGAGGAAATATTTGTAAATAAAAGTTATGGTCAATTAAATTTGAGAAATATATTTTATTATTATATTATTATATATTATTATATTTTATTATAATAATAATTATTATATATATTTTATTATTATCCTTGAGACTGACAAGAAACAATAACATATACAATCATCTGAGATACCTCACAATAAAGAAAATTATTAATATAGTTTAAACCCAAAGTTTTCAATGTATTTTACAAAGGAATTCTTTCTTCATATTATATTTATGATCATCCCATAAATTGGTATTCTGTAGAAAACATTTGGGAAAAACGAACCTATTGAAATTCCTCTTCCAAATCGATCATATAATATTTTGAAGGGTCTTCTTTTTCTGCTGATTTATAATAATTCCCTGCTGTGGATGTGCTGTTAAATGTCAGAACTACAATAAAGTCTTTCTGACACTTAACTGTTAAACCTAAGTTTTTCTAACTACAGTACAACATTATTTAAACACCTCTCTCCATAATTGCAGTCACAGCTAAAATATCAACCCTTTCCTGAAACTCCTGCTATAGTAATTCTGAGACCCCCTTATCTTTTGCACCATAATGGTTTCTTAATTTTCACTGATGCTAATTTAAGCTTTTTAATTTATCATGTGCTTATGACTCTACAATTAAATGGTGACTTCCTTAGTGTCTGGAGCCATGCATTGAACTTCCACGTATCCCTCCCTAACAAAACATGAACATGGAGCACTGATCATTCATTCATTCATTCATTCATTCAACAAATATGCACTGAGCATCCCCCATGTGCCAGGGATTAAGTGCCGAGGTCTACCAGTGCCTGATCAAGATCACCAGTGCAAGATCACTAGTACTCTAGTAGAACTTTTATTGTACTGTAGCAGAGAGATATATATTACTTAAGTCTTTAAGTAATTACATCATGTAATGTCAGATAAGAGTTAAGTGGCATGAAGCGATAACAGCATGTGAGAAAGTGACTGAGAAGAGATTACCTTGGAAAGGACTCTCTAAAGGGGGAATCTGTAAACTGAACTTAAATAACAGAGAAGAACCAACCATGCCATGAGAAAGTCAGAAAGAAAGGTGTTCTAGACCAGAGCAAAGAGCCAGGGCAAAAAGTAGAGGCCAGCTGAATTTTCTAAGAGGAAAAGAAGGAAGGCTAGGGTGGTTAGAGCATGCATAATGAGTCAGAGGGAACACTATGATATCACGTAGAGTGGTGGGTATGAACCAGATTGCAATAACCAATGTGACTTTTATTTTAGGCGCTATGGAAGTCACTGAACGTTATTGGGGCCATTTATAGGCTGTTTTAGTACTCAAGGGCAAGATAAGATGGTGATTTAGACAAAGGTGGTGGCAGGAGAGCAAAGGAAGTGGAGAAATTCTGAATATACCTTGGCAAAAGAGACAATGGGATTTGCTGGCCTAAGCAAAAAAGTGGTTGGTGCTATTTCCTAGATAGGGATACCTGGGAGAGGAATGAAGGTTGACAGGTCTGTAGCATATCTAGAAAGATGTGTCAATTTTACCTGATTCTGAAGCTCATGGGAAAGGGCACGGCTAGATCATACATTTGGGAGTCATTGGCACAAAAATAATATTAAAATCACAAGACCACATGAAATCATGTAGGCAGAAAATGTAATCAGAGGCACCTAAAAATATGGAAGTGGTACAGGAGAAGAGTAGTGACAGAGGAAAGAAGGGAGGGAAAGATGAAGGGAGGAAAGGAGAAAGGGGGAAGAGAGAGACAGAGAGACAGAGAGAGACAGAGACAGAGAGACAGGGGGGGGGGGGAATCAAAATGGTAGGCAGAAACTAGAAACTCAGGAGAATGTGTTGAGAAGTCCAAAAGAATAAAGTACAGCTGAGTCAAATGCCAAAGATCTAGATGAAGAGGAAACCATCTGGTTGGCCAACTTGGAGACAATAAGGGCATGTTCAATGGAGTGGTGATGACTGAAGATGAGAGGCATAGTTGAAGCAAGAATGAGAGGTCAGAACTGATAAACATTCAATTCAGACAAACTCTTCAAAAAACTTGCTATGAAGAGCACCAGAGAAGTTGGGCAGTAGTTAGAAGGGACATGAAGTCAAGAGAGGTTTTCTCCTACTCGCCACCCCCAAATGGGAGATACTAAAGTCTGTATAGAGTCAGAAGGAAAGATTAATAATGCAGCAAAGAGAGGGACTAATTTAACACACAAATCTTCAATTATGAAAATTTTAAATGTATTTGATTCATATTAGACTGAATAGGTGGTTATTTTTCAATATATGAGTTGTAATTGTGACAATTTCCAGGAAACAAAATTGGGTGCTAATAATAATAATAACAATATTAACTAATATGTAGTGCTTATTATGTGCTTTAACATATACACTGAATGGCCAGATTATTATGATCTCTGAACTTATAATAATCTGGCCACTCAGTGTGTGTGTGTGTGTGTGTGTGTGTGTGTGTGTGTGTGTGTGTATATATATATATATATATATATATATATATATATATATATATATTAGAGCCTGATATTGTGCATGGATGGGGTCCAGCCAGCCTGGCCAGGGGGAGGGGACATGAGCGATAGGCCGGTCTGCCTGCTGGTCAAACTCCTGGTCTAGGGGACAATTTGCATATTAGCCTTTTATTATATAGGATATACACTGAGTGGCCAGATTATTATGTGTTCAGATAATATATATACATATACACTGGCCACTCGGTGTATATGTATATGTGTGTGTGTATGCTTTATAAATCCATATAAATAGATGCTTTACATATGTGTAAATATATATTTGCTTCCGCAGTCCTCCAAATAACAATAATTGTTCTCATAGCACATTTAATTAGGAAACTGAGATACAGGGAGGTCAAGTAACTTGTCTAGTGTCATGCAGGCTGTAAAACCAGGATTCACGAACAACCTGACTCTGAAGCCTAAACTACAGGAAAAACTGGTAAAAGATTTCACATCAACTGGCATTTCCTCAGTTCATGACGTGTTTTATGATTCACCTCTTCTCAGTTACCTCTTCTTTGTCCAAGGGTATATATTATAAAAAAGGATAAAAAAAGGAATTGTTTTTAACCCTTTCCCTATTTGGGGCAATCTTATGAGATGCTCAAACCAATTAGGTGTGGTTAGCAATTTTATCAAACCTGTTGTTTTTAGAATAGTTATAGATATATACTTCATATTAAAAAATTTTTTTTTATATATAATGGTTTTTTCCACAAAAGTATTCCTTCTATATATATCCAATACATTTGATACACATTTATATATTACTTTAATGGCTATCTGGTATTCAATTATATGCAAAATATATGTGTTTGTGGTATGTATCTACATAAAAAGTCTATGATCTTGGCAGAAAACTTAGAAAATATAGTTTAGCAAAAAGAACTTCACTCATTCGTTCATTTAATAAATGTCCATTTTATGTCATGCAACCATTACAAATCATGCTTTCAAATGCTATTAAAAAGCATGAGGAAAATACAAAGGGCTATATAGAAAGCATGTCAAAAAATCAATAAAAAACAAATCACTCATATATGAGAAAGGAGAGAAGAGAGGAAGAAATGTAAGCAGTAGTTATTATTTCTAGGTGATGAGATATTAAGGATGATTTTTATTTTCTTCTGCTTGCCTTTTCCTTATTTTCTATAATGAACATGTGTTACTTTAATACTCAGAAAAATGTCACTTAAAAATGAAAATTTTCTGCATATTATCCTGAGAGCACATGCATTACCAAACATCTGATTTGAAGCTAAAATGGAACCCATTAATAGTAAGGCATAGGGAATAAGAGGACAGTTAATTATTTTAATTACTCAATAATAATCCTCTAAATTATTCCACTGCCAGGAGCCGTGAACTTACTTCTCTAAAGGTCCACTTCCTCAGGATTGTGTGTGTGTGTGTGGTGTGTGTGTGTGGGTGTGTGTGTGTGTGTGTGTGTGTGTGTGTGTGTGTGTGTTTAGGGCACTATATAGCTATCCATACTAATTAGTATATATTCACAGATGATGGACTATCATCATAGAGTTTGCTTCTTGCCACTAGATCTTCCCAGAAATAGAGATTCAGGAGACACTGTTAAGGGGAAAAAATCCATAAAGCATAGGTAGAAAATTCAGCCACTTTCCTCTGTCTTGTTCAAGCTACCCTTTAAGATGCCTCTTTTTTTTTTTCTTTCTTTCTTTTAAATTTTCTATTGTGATAAATTGCAAACATACTACAAAATACCTATTTGATTGCTCAGAAATGTGTACAATAAACTACAAGTTCCTATCACCTAGGTTCAACATTTTTATGAACTTTCTTTCCAATTGCTTATCATGTATTACTAGGAAACCAACAATATTTATGAACAGAAAAACTATACTTATAGGAAAAATTTAAAACATTAAATAAAAAAGAAAAGCTTTTTAAAAACCTTACTGCACTAAGCTTTGAAGAAACCCCCCAAATAGTTTCTAAGGTCTGCTAATGCAGCCGTCACCTTTCCAACCCAATTTGCCCTTCTTCCCTAAGAGCTATTTGAATACATCCTTATGCTTGGAAAAGGGAAAAACTAAAATAAGAAAAGCAGTAAACGAGGAGCTGTGAAGCTTCAAGAGAGAACAGGGGGAATAGCCAGCACTCATCCCGGGAAGTGCAGCCAAGAGCAGCCCAGGGATAAGCCGGCAGCAGGCTGGCAGGTCACTCACATTGACAAGGACGCAGAGCCAGTGGAGCACCAGGTTGTACCTACCCAAACTGTTGTCACTGCTCGTGGGCCAGGAAGCAATTCTATCCCTCAGTCGCTTCTTTTCACAGGAGTTGTCTGACTTCTCAGAGAGGCCCACTTCTTCCTTCCTAATTTCTCGAACCAGCTGCATGCGGCATCTTATAAAATCCTGAAAGGAAATCTTCCCATTTTCATCTGCGCCCAGTTGGTTCATGATCTCAGCCACAGACTCTTCCATGTTCAATTGGCGACAGACCATCAGCAAGTCATTCCTACAAAAGGGGTTGAACCGAAGAAATGTTGTTTAGGAGAGAGATTTGAAGTGGTGAGTGGAAAAAAAAAAAAAAAAAAGGGTTTTTTTTTTTTAGTCTATTCACCCCAGGCTAATTGTATTTCTAACATTCTGGTAGCTTCTAGAAAAGTGGTAAGTGTGCAAAATGATCTGTTTCACCTGAGTTATTCTAGACAAGAACTCTATTATTATTTGGGAGAGTGAGGCAACTTTAAATCTTTTGTTCTCGTTTTTTCTTCCTGTTTCCACACCCGTCCCTCCTTTTCACCCTTTTGAATTTGACGGAGCACCTGTAGAATGTAGCACTGTAATCCTACTGTAAGATAAAGTTTCAGAACATAGAAAAGACATTGTTTCTACTCTTGGCTGAGTTTTAAATCTAGTCAAGTTGTAAGAACAAAGATTTTAACAAGATCAGTTTTCAGCTTTCTGGACCATTCAGTTAATTTTAGTGCTTCTTCAAAATATTATTTAATCTTGACTTTCATGACTCAGTGCTCGACTACCTCTGGTTTTTCCTGATTTTCTTTTAATATTTGTCATGCTCCCATAGACAATTAGCAATTCCTTAGACTTAGAGCAGGGATCAAATCCCAAGTGCCTTGCAGGTCTGGGACATAATGTAAATGTGTGAAGTAAGTAGATCCTAGACAAGAGGGATTGATGAAGTCTGTGGTTTGACTAAGTGGTATATCCAGCTTCGAGGTTCTCAAATTTAAAAAATAAATAAAAAGAGTTAAAAAGGAACAACAATAAAACACTATGTTGTCCAAGAACATATATCTGGAGGACATCATTGGAACCTGCCACATAAGTCTTGTGTTTTTTCTTTCTCTCTCACTGAACTCTTTGGGGAAATATTTTGTTCATATATTTTTTAATGGTAAGTCTCAATAAAGGTCAAAAGATTATGAATTTAAGAGCTGGAAGAGACATTCAAAACTAGTCCATGGTCACTAACTAAGTTAGTGCTCCTGTCTCAACATATTGATACCACCAAAGTCCAATCATTCCTCTTTGGTAGTGCCATACATCCATACCCTTGTCTTGGGCGAGGGCCAAGGACACTGATGGTAGGTGTGTCCCTCTCTTAACTTTAGAATTGACATACAACTTGCTTTGACCCTTGAGATTTTAGCCGATTTGTGTTTACATAGTTGGGCTTGCCAACCCCCCCTGATTCTGCCATTATTACGAGAGGACCAAATCATGGTAGCTATTAACCCATAACCCAAAATGAGCCACCTTGACTGACCTGTTGACCTGTAGCCTAAGGAGGGCCACTCTAGCTGACCCCAAGATGTGTAATCAGGAATAAAATCTTATTGCCTATGCCAATAAAATGTTGTGATTGCTCCCCAGCAGCAAACTGATACACAATACATTTCTATGTTGTTGTTTTTGCCCTTGCCTGAATACAACTTGTCAGATATTCAGCTTGATTCACCCAAAATTTAGGGAAGATTAAGATTGCTAAAGTATGAATGCACACAGAAAGAAGGGTTGATGTTCAGATTTTACATTCCAAAATAAGAATGTCTTTGTTATATTTTTAGATAATAGTCTAAAAATGAAGTTTGATGAAAGATAAAGAAGTTTTATGAATTCCAGAGATTCACATAAAAAGATGTTAACACTAATGTTTTCTGAATGGTAGGAATATGGTGTTTATATTCTTATTTTTTCAACTTCCTACAACATACTACAGTATTTCATAAATTACTAAGTCCTTTTTTTTTTTTTTTTTTATGAGGATAATAATAGGATCTCTCTATAGGTTTGTTTGTTCTGAGGATAAATTACCTAACACATGTATAGCAGTGAACATGATTCCTGACACATATGAAATACTCGGTAAATAGTAGCTATTATTATGATTATTTAGTTGTGGTCTATAAACACATGGGACAAGAACATAATAAGCCATGAAGAAAAAAAAATTAATGGATGATATTATCTAAACAAGCAAAATACCATATAACAGGCATCTTTAAAAAATTAAGGCTAGGATCCTTCTACTATGGTTTTAACACAGTAGGTGAGCCAAAGTAATGAATGTCTAAGACTAGCTCAAAGTTGAGTCTAGGGGTTCATTCTCATTCTCTCTCTTTCTCTCTCTCTCTCTCTCTCTCTCTCTCTCTCTCTTCTCTTTTCTCATAAAATATACTACTAGAAATAGAAATAATAAAGCTTTTGGCATAATGCTTGTATCTGAAAACTGCTTTTGAGCACTGTTGTCAACTTGTAACATATACAGAAAAAATAGCAAAGATAAAACAAGGTCAAGATATAAAGAAGGAATGTTTTAAGTCATCTAATTTATTACAGGATTCTTTTTGAAATCTCACAGCTAATGAAATATTAAGATATTCTATTATAAAACCAGAAATTCTGTTACCAACTTCCTCAATATTGTCTACATGGGAACCTATTTTAACTCTTGTGAATTAATATTCACATTCTTATATTCCACTGCAAATATATACACACAGGTGGCTATTTAAGTTCACATTTAAATTAATTAAAATTAAATACAATTGAAAACTCATTCTTCAGTTGCACTAGCTCAATGGCCACATTAAACATTTTATTTTTATTTTTAAAATACAGTTGATGTACAATCTTCTATTATAACAGTTTCAGGCCAACGGCCACATTTTGAATGCTCAATAGCAACATATGGCTGATGGCCACCACACTGTGCAGCGCAGAGACAGTACAGCTCTATCATTGCAGAGAGTTCTACTGAAGAGCACTGGGAAAATAAAATAGAATGCAGCATCCTCAATAAGCTTCAGGCAATAGACTCAGTCAAGCAAGGAAATTGTTACAAATGTCAGTTATTACTTCTAGGTAATAAAGGAATTATAAAACTCGAGGCATTTCCCTCCGAATATAGAAAAGCCATTGTATCATAAATCTGTTAGTTTTCTTTGAACCTGATTTTCTAAGATTGAGTTCATCTCCATCCATAGGACACACAAAAACATGCCTACTTTTTAGATTAAGTAAATCTGATCAGATTTAAATTCATATCCAATACACCACCTGTGGACAAAAAAATTCTGGTTGATTTACTAGATTCAGGGGGTTGGGGAAGGATGTGCCTGTTTCCTAGAGGAAGCACTACCTTTGTCTTCTTGGATTTGAGTTATTGTAATATTAATTCTTTCGGATGTTTAGCCTGAACTTCCTGAGGACTCACTGAAGTAATGAATAGCCAAGATCAGTCACTGACGTGATGGCTTCCCCTTCTCCAGGTGAAATGTCAAGAGGGACTAAAAGCAAACATTCAAGAAGAAATCATCTGCAAACAAGTACAATATTACTTTTACATATTCTTTAAAAGCTCTTCTACTTTATAACTGTTTCCTAATATTCTTACTCTTTATTCTTTTGACAATTTCTCCATTTGGACTTTGCTATTAATATTTCAGTGGAAGAAAATATTTTAATGTATCTGACCCTTGGATTATTTTTTTAAAATCAGTAAATTAACGTTCTATATTAAGCAAGATTCAGACTATCCTCACAGTGATTTGTAAATACTTCTCAAAAGCAGCCTCAGCCATTTCTAGGGAAAAATAATCAGAACACTGATGTTTCAGGGGCTGTGCTAAGTGCTTTGGAAATGTTATTTCACTTAATCCTCATAATAACTTTAAGATATATTATCTCCACTAGAGGCCTGGTGTATGGGTTCGTGTACCAGGTGGGGTGCCTCAGCCTGACCTGCAGGAATCAGGCCAAAACCGGCTCTCTGCCTTCCCCTGAGGGTTCCCAGATTGCGAGAGGGTGGTTCTTGGGTGATGCACCCCAGAATCGGGCTCCCTCCTCTCTGGTTATGGGTGTGTCACCCGAGAACTGCAGCTGCCAAGTCACCACAGCTCAGCAGTTCCTGCGCTGAGCATCTGCCCCATGGTGGTCAGTGTGTATGATAGCTACCAGCAGGATGGTCGAACGGTCACTTAGGCTTTTATATATAGAGATATATTATATAGGCTTTATCAGCTCCTTATAAGAGGGAACCTGTCCCAAGTTCCTGGCACCATGCTTAATTCATAGCAGGTACTTAAATAGGTTGGTGGCTAAATGAATGAACAAAGGGCACCTCTCATAACCCCAGACATAGACATTGCAGAGAGCATTCAGTAAATCTTTACTAATTGAATAAACTAGCAATAACAGTCAGTATGACTAATGGTTAACTTGTTCTTAATATATAAATGTCCCTTCAAAACCCCACTAAGGCTAAGTAATTGACCCCATTTCCAAAAAATATGTCCAAGACAGTCACATCTGGAAGATGCAGAAAGAGAGGATACTTGGAAAAGGCTACTAGATATCAGTTTGGAGGCAATAAAAATGTTTGGAAAGGATGCCACTTTGTAAAAATTTATTTCTAAGTGTATTTCAACAAACCTAGAGAATAGTTAACCTTTCAGATAATTTTAGGTCATATTTTTATGGGTAAATTAGACATAACGACATTATTATAAAAAGAAGAGTGGACCCAAATTTTCACATCAAGGCAAAAAGTTTTATATTACACCATGTATTTAACATATATAAGACTCACAACCTGCAGTGAATGATAAACTTGTAATTCAATTTATTTTTTCCATTCTCAAAGAGGAGTAGCTAAAGGTGGAAGTAGGAGATAAAGCAAAATTTTTCATCAAGTGCTCTTCAACTGAATAACCGATGATAATTCCTTTTTTTTTTTTTTTTTTTTTTTTGCTAGGCTCCTCCTGTGCACTTGATCTCTGGCCTGGGAAATGGAAGTAGCCTGCCACGAGGAGCCTCCAGGCGCAGCCACCCTGGAAGCCTCCTGCCTGTCCCCATTCTTTTCAACTCTGTTCCTTGGTTTCGTTCTCGCTCTCATTTAACACCCCTCTCAGTTCTTCTGGCTTCACAAGTCATTTGGCTTTATATGTCTGTCCTTAATCTCCATTCATATCTGCTCAAAATCAGAGATAG